AACACTGCAGAAGTTGTTAAAAAGCAACTGTTAATAGAAGCTGTGAAAAAAACAAAACACCACCCACTTTTTGGTAACTAAATACAAATATAAGTTGACCATAATTTGCTTTTTTTGTTGTTAGGTAATATTTATGTCTCTATAGATGGAATATCTCAGACTTACTGTTGCAAAAAATAGATCTTGTTTCAAAGGTTGTTGAACTTTTTACATTAAAATGGGTTGGGGATGCAGTGTATTGGAGAACAGGGAAGCATGGTAAGAATCTGTCCAAAACAATTTGCATCATCATAATAAGTTGCAATTTGCCCCTATGAGGTAGAAGCAGGGAAGGGGAAAAGACTGCCCATGTGAAAGGAAAGATGCAAGCTGTATACAAAATGTATAAATGTAAGGGACTTGAACTGGGAGAACTAAAACGTCTTGTTACTGTAAACATAGTTCACTCTCACAAAACCTATCAGAGTACATAGCAGTGTCCATATTTTTAAGACAAACATAGAAATTTTAAAATGGAATGAGAGAAGAAGAGAACACACTATGAGTTTAATTACCAGGGAATACAATCATAGTAGAAGTCAAGTCGTTCCAAGGTGTGGGTTTTTTCCCTTATTTGACTGTAAGTGGGAATCTGGATTTTTTTCACATGTACTAACCTGTTTTCTATTCATGCATTAGTTTGTGAACCCAGTAGTTTTAGATATTTAGGTAGGATAATCATAGAATCATAGAATGGTTTTGATACCAGGATGTCATGGAGGACAGTGTCAAAGGCTTTGCACAGGTCCAGGTAGATGACATTGATTGTTCTTCCTTAATTCTCTGATTCAGTGATCCCATTGTAAAAGGCCACCAAGTCAGTCCATGGAATGGAATATCTCTGGCCAGTTTTGCTGTCTAATTCAGCCTCCTACAGGGGGGTCATAGATCTCCCCATAGTGTCTGAGCTGGCAGAGTAAAGGTGTGACCTTGAAGACCCAGCAGTTACAAAAACATTCAATTCTTATCAATCTTGGTTAGAACACACCAGTGCTAGTTAAAAGAAAGCTCATTGAAGGAAAAAAATAATCAGTAAAAGGAAAATTGGCTTCATGCTGGCTCAAACCAGGACATCTAACAACTTGTCTCTACTTCTCCCAGGATGCCTGTCCCTGCTTCCATTCTCTGTATACCTTCTTTTTACATTTAACTGTGTCCAGGAGCACCTTGCTCATCCATGCAGTCCTCCTGGCACTCCTGCTTGCCCTCCTCAAGGCAGACATAATGCTAAACAGTAGAAGGCATACATGAAAATAAAAACAGTTACTGAGGAGAAATTTTGTAAAAGTCTAATGTGATTAGTACTGAAATGGAATTACTTCCACTGAAAAGTATACACCGCAGTGTATGTGTAAATGATGCAGTGAAATCTGGGAAATTATGAAGTTTTCAGTACTTTCAGTATTTTCCTGATCTTATTCTATGTCAGGTTGTTGCTTCTGAACAGTTAAATACTCGTGGTTAATGCAAATCACAAACTATATACAACCTTCTGTGTGAAATTATCACAACTAAACCAAGTAATATATTTTTGATTAAAATACAGTGCTAAGTGGCTGTCTTAAAGATTTGCATTTTTCAAATTAGATGGTTTTGTTACTAAATTAGTTCCAATTTATGAATATTCATAGTATATTTTTTAACAGTCTTGAACAGCGTATGCATAAGAATTAGTTATGTTGTTTTAGCAAAACTGTTAAGTGTTCAGAAACTTTGAAGAAATGAATGTTCTTTAAATAGCTAAACAGTGATTTTTGTTGCTTCTGATGCTTAGGGTACAGCTGCACAAACAAAAGCTCCCTAACCCAAGTGTTAATTTGCAATGTGCTAGTTACTTAAGGGTAACTTTTACATTAAAACCTTCATAGTAGATGATGTGAAATATCTTACTGTGTGCTCACTGAGAAATGGGCTACTGTCTTTGCAAGGAGTCAGAGCATGGCAAAGGAGAAGTTGCCTCTGAGTCACTTACAGCCAGAAATTACCAACAGCACTTACTGTGTGTGGTTGAATGAACCGACTGTGAAGTTTAATTTGTCAACTTAATTTTCTTCTCCTCTGGGAGAAATCCTAGCATATAGTTCTCTGTGGTTATACCTGCCTTGTAAACAGAGCTTGTTTCGTAAATTAGTGCATCATCATAGGAAGAACTCTATCTGAATGCTTTTGAAAAGCATTAATTTTATATCTACACTCAGCATCTTTTGTTTTCTGGACAGTGGGAAATGTTAGCAAAAAGATCCTGCTAATGACTTCCTTATTGAAAGCCAATTTCCTTCTCCACTTAATGTATCTTGTCAACCATTGCTGCTCTGTACTTGTGTTTCTTCCTCATCTTAATAGTGTACTTTTCTCCTTACAAACCATTCAAGAATGAGCTTGATCAGAACTTTTACTACATTGTCCGTAGTTTTTATGCGATAGGAGGTGGTGATAAGATCATTGGTAATCATGAAGAGAGATGTAAATCGGTTACGTAGAAAATGATATTATGCCTTCAGTAGGTGACAATTGTGCTTCTGTAGGAAGATGCTAGAATATCAAAAGCAGAGAGTTGCAGTTCATCCATGAAATTATCATGGTCTAAGGCAGTGATTTACAGAACCAAAAGCCATGACCTCTGTCACTGATTTGCAGGAATTGTTCTTGGATGTGGTAACTGTCTTTTGTGTCTACTTCTTTAAATGAATTTATTTTCAGCCATTAATCAGATGTTTTCATGTGTTTTCCTTTTTTTATTTGATTTGTTGTTGTTCTGGGGGCTTAGTTTGTTTTGTTTCAGTTGACATGTTCTCAGTCTGCCTTTTCCTATTAGGCCTTTGCACCAGGTTTCCTCTTAATCATTTTAGAAAAGACAGTCCCGAGGGAACTATGAAAAACTGAGTCAATCATTTGCCAGTTATTTTATTAGGCTTTGTTCTCAGTATAGTCTGGTGCTTTAATGAAAGAAATCACAACCACAAGCCATATGGAAACCAAAACAAGGCTTTGGTTGTAATCTGGTTGTAATTCTTTCCAAGAATTTCCAGAATCTCCAAAGTAGCTCTTGATTCTCTCCCTTGGTTTCAGCTACCCTGAGATAGGGGAGGCACTGGATAAGTGGAAGGAAAGATATAAAAGTTGTACTATGGATTCTGTAGGGGAGGGAAGAGGAATAGATGTGCAGTACTGCAGAAAGTGGTAGTTATGCATCCGAGCAAACTGAATTGGATTTGGCAACTTGAAAATTACCATTGCAGGAAGTGTCCGTCCTTTAGCCAGACTCTTTTTTTTTTTTTTTTGCCCCCATTTCATATGGTGCTGTGAATTTAAGGAAATGTTATGGGAGAATTCTTGATATTTCTTTAAAATGTATAATTAGTACACCACAGGAACAGTCTTTTCTCACAGAAAATGATGCAAAAACTTTTCTTATCATTTCCTTGGTTAAAAGAAAGGTGATGTTTCAAATAACTAATATTTCTCAGCCTCAAGACTAATTACTTCTCTCAAAGGTAGTCAACCTTTCCTGCTTCCATTCCTTTGGAGTGTGGTATTTTGATTTTTAGCATTTGCTGAGTAATTATGGTAAAAGGAGATTGGCAAAAATACCTTTTCTCAGATACTAAAAAAGTAAGCCTTAAAAAAAACAGTTACTGACTCAAGTGCCCTACATAGATGTTGGTATTTTAATAAGCAGAAGAGAGTACAGGAAAAGTTGAGTTCAATCCTTTTCTTGCAATGGGGGGTTAAATCCTTACACTGAAGATAAATAGGAGGTTGTTGATTGTGAAAGTTACAAAGGCTGCATGCTGTACCAAATGTCAACTCCAGCCTATTGTAACTAATCTTGTGTGGCTTAAACTAAAGCTCAGGGAAGAGATTTTGAATAAGTTTGTGTTTTCTAATGACTTGTCAAGTGATCTTCCCTTCTGTTTGCACTTCGCAGTTCTTGAGATAAAAAAAAAAGTTTTACCTTTCATGGTAGAAACTTAAAAGCAGTTTCTTTAAGTGTCACTTAAATTATGGAACTTGAGTCTGCATGTGTTTGCTCCTCTGCTCATCAGCTTTTTGATTTTGAAGTACAGAACTTCCTGTTATTCGTGCGTGGACATAAAAATGTGCTAATACTATATTGGAGTCCTTTCAAACAGGTTTTTCTCAGGGTGAGATCTCTGACCTTTCTGATTGTCTCACAGTTGAAGGATATGCTTCAAATAGCATTTAAGTCATTTTTAGATAAAATTCATGGCTTCATGTTAAGAGGTTTTCTGTCAGCCTTGCAAGTTGAAGTAGCTGGAATCTATGGCTTTTCAATGTTTCGTTCAGTGAGGTTTCTCAGAAGTGATTTGGAAGAGAGTTTGTTCTTGAAGGAATTTAATGTTGCTTTGAAACCAGATGTGTGACCTCACTTTCTCTTACATGTTGTGTTGACTCTCCAGAGTTAACAAGAACAGATACTAGTGCAGCTCTTTTGTTTGTTACATTAGGGTAATTGGATAAAGCATGAGCAGAACTAATTATCATCAGAGTGCTATTTCTGGGCACTAAAACTCTTCATGGCAGGGATGCATTGCAATTTCTTGGTCCTGGTTTTCCATCCAGAGCATAACCAGATCTTGTTTTGAAATTGTGTAGCCAATTGTTTACATTTACGTCATTAAGCTGTGGTGAAACAGATCATAGGTAAAGTGAGACGATACTGTAAATAGAAAGAGTTTCTTAAATGCAGAAAAATTCTGATTTGCATTTGATGTTTAAAATGTAAACCTGTAAAATCTTACAAGATTATCTCTCCTCCCGAGGTCTAAAACAGAATCTGTTAAGGGTTTTGAATATCTTCACCATTTTCTTTCTTCTCTTTAATGGAAATGTATTGCCCTCATGTTCATAACACTGTCTGTAGCTCTGTGTTAATTTAAAATCCCATGAACCTGACAAGAAAGGTAGCTGTTAATGTTCCCTCTCCTGTCTTTTAAAAGGAAGGGGCTTCTGCTCGAAAAACACAAGCTCCAGCAGCACAGCCCGTACCACGACCAGGTAAGGTAACCTACTTTCACTTCTGCTTCTTGTCCAAGTATGAATTTCAAAGAAGTACTATTAAAAACTTCAGTATGCTGGAGAATGAAGTTGGGATTAATTTGTGGCCTTTAACTGCATATGTATTGGAATTAACACACAACTTTTTGCTTAATGTTATATACCATGGGGCTTGGATTCATTCTCTAGAGTGGGTTACCTAGTTAGCCCAGTGAAAATGGATGTGTTAGTGAAATTAAAAAAGTGATTAACTGCTTCTTTGTCAGCTTGGTATTACACAAACGCCAGCTCAAATGTACAAGAGTTTGTTTATACTCCAAGGAGAAACAACTTAAATGGAAAACCTAATCTGGAAGAGAGGTATATTATTACTTCTCTTATTAATATATCAGAAATACATTTTTCTCTGAATGTGTTGGCATTACTACTTCATACTTGTTAGCACTCAAATTGTTTCAGGGCCAGAATCCTCAACTGGCTGTTTAATTTGCACTTGGAAGCCTTTAGCTACCACGTCATCATTATATGTCAGATTGAAAGAGTTTTTAGGAGAGTGTAAGGGTACAGACAGTATATGAAAGTAGGAGTGTTTCCCATTGACTGTGCATATCTGCACCTAATTTACATAGTATGAGAGTTTCTGCTTGGTTGGAAGAAAGTCTCAAGTGAAGTGTGTTATTTAAGAACAAAATTGTGGGTGTTTTTTGTTACAAAGGTATTGGAAAGGAGATATTTTGGGTTTTTTTGAGACATAGCTACCTTTTAAAATTATATGTTTTTAGAAGTACTGCTGAGTACTATTATGTTCTTGTTGATACTACTAAATGCTTTCAGTGCATGCCTTGCTGATTCCTTGTGATTTATTAGTAGGATTTGATATTAAGACTTAACATTGTAAAAATTATTCTTCCCCCAAAATGTAATATTGAATGTTGTCAGCATACATAAATGCTATTGTGCACAGATTGTTCTGTTTGGTTGTTTTGGTACTAGAAAGGTCATGCTGTCTGTCATACTTATCTCACTAGCCCCGTTAAGCATGATAATGCAAATGGAGTTGACAGACAGCAGTATGAAAAGGGTAGAAGTGGCAAGAACAGAAATCTGACTGAATTGTCACAGGTCTCTACTGCTAGCTGTGACTTCATGGGCCTTAACTGGCAGAAGTGTATATTTTTGCACATTATGCAGGTTATACTGATTCTGCCCTTAACGTTCTGTTGAGAGCTGAAGAGAAAATAGAGAGGTATAGTCTGAAGAGAGTGTATATACTGCTTCATTAAAACAAACAAGAAAAAAAACCTCTCTGCCTTTTCTAGGATATTTTAAGACTTAAAAAGTAATTTATTCTCTTCTTAGCAATGAAATTATTTTAAAAGTGCAATTTCCAGGAGAATACTGCCATGCACATAAGTGTTAGTTAAATAGGACAAAACAGTTATATAAAACTGATTTTTAAAAATATCTGGTGTGCTTTTAATTTAAGATCTTTTTTGTACCTTTGTGTGCTACCTACTTTTCTACTAACCTGTCCAATACTTTTTTCCTCCCTCTTTTTTTTTTCCTTTTTTTTTATTCTTTTCCTTTTCTCTTTCTGTTTTTCTGGGTTTTTTTTTTTCTTGTTTTCTTTTTGTTAGGGCAGCTAATAACTGCCCATATATCTCTGGAATATCTTTAAATTAAGGAGATGCCTAGATTTAAAAAAAAACAAAAATTTAAAATTATTGGGTAGGTAAAGGTATTGTAGTTCAATATAGTGTTGGCAATTATAGCTGTGCATTTGACAGTGTCAGGAAAAGATAATTAGGTATATGGTCTCAATATTTCAACAATGGCAACTATGTGTTGTGAATATTTATACTGTTCTAGTCAGATTCTGAAACAGTTGGTCATAAATAAACATGACCAAGTTGGTGCTATGAAATTGGAAGTCAATTAATGAAATTTGTCATGCATAGTAGTAGTTGAGACTTGAGTTAGTCTGCATCAGTCTTTTTTGCTACTCACCGTTTTGTGCGGTTTGTGAATTAAGATAAACATGTATGATTGTAGTTATCAAGCACAACAGTATTTTGCTTAAGTTAGACCTCCTGAAAACTGTGCTGTAAAAGTAATAGCACCAAAGTGAAAAAATGTTTCTGTTTTTCCAACTTTGGACTGAAGTATTTCCCATATTGAGGAGGTCTCAAATTGGAAGACTGAAGTGGAAATATTGCACTGGTGTGTGAGGGGGCAATTCTTTGGTTTCTATCTGGCCAGTATTCTTCGTATGTTTTTGTTTGGGGGGTTTTCTTGGTGTTTTTGTTTTGTATTTTTTGGTTGTTTCTTTGGGTTTTTTTGCTTGAGTGCTATCATATCCATCAGATTTCATTATTTCTGGCATGCAAAGAGCTCATATAGCTCAAAAAAAAAAAGCAAACCAAAATAACTTGAGTAAGACTGAAATTCACCTTTTGATTGTTGAAAGTTCTGTGTGGATTAAGGATAGCTGAATCCCACATATATACAATAATAACTATTAATGAAAAGGTGAGGGTCTATAACAATTAGTTTGTTGTGAAATATTCTTCCTGGTAGTTCAACACTTTTTAACTTAGGATCTACAGGCAGCTTTTTTCAAGGTTGCTGTCAATTTTTTTCAATGCTGTAGTGCCCTGACCTTTTGAGGAGGATGGAGAAGGATGACTAGTTTCAGTATAATTAGGAGAGATTGACTCAACTGTCCAAACATCTGTTTCAGACTGACAGAAGCTCTGTCTTCTGCATACTGACACCTGAACTATAAATTCCTTCAAGTCTGTGTATTGCATCTTGAGAAAATTATCTAGTGACTATAGTGTGATTCTTCTCTGTCCATTCCTGCAACTAAAAGCATTGAAATGTTGCCTTACAATGACACTCATATTTGTGTTTTAGTCATTTTGGCATGTTTTGGTTTTTATTTCCAGTTTCTCAAGCAAGACCACCTCCAAACCAGAAAAAAGGTGAGTCAATTTTAGTTACACGATCTTTTTCATTTCTGTGTGAATCGTGCCTGCTCTGTTATTTGCTGGAACCACAAGCAACAGCATAAACAGTCAGTGGAATGAAGACAATATTCTGTTTTGCAAAATCAGATCCTAGCCATAGTTAGAGACTCCTGATACAGGGGTATGGGGGATGTTTTGGTGAATGAAAATCTTCAGTTTAGAAAAGATTTAATACAATTTTCCTTGAGTGTTTTTTCATGTTTTTTATCTGTTATGCAAAGTTTTATGTACAGTTCCTTTAATGAAAAAAAAGGGGGGGACACCTTAAAAAAACAAAAACCCAAAAAATGGGCAAGTGCAACTTTATTATTATCTCTACAGGATCTCGAACTCCCATAATCATTATTCCGGCAGCAACAACCTCTTTAATAACGATGCTTAATGCAAAGGACCTTCTGCAAGATCTAAAGTAAGTAGTTGATTAGAAAAAACTATATAAAAAACCTGTATTCAGATGTAAAGGTATACTAGTACCAAATCAGTAATTAAGCAAGAGGGACTGTCTACTGTCTCAAGACAAGGTAGTTATATGGATAAGAGTATATTAAAAAAAAGCATCTGGAATAGTAAGGGGCAAAGAAAACCCAGCTGATTTTCAGAATTTTGGCATAGTTGTGACCTGTGGGCCATATGGGCATATTGAGAAGAAAGTAATGGAATAATGGAGTTGTCAGAGTTGGAAGGGGCCTCTAGAGATCATCTAGTCTAACTGCCCTGCTAAAGCAGCATCCTCTAGAGCATATTACTCAGGACTGCATCCAGGCGGATTTTGAGTATTTCCAGAGAAAGGGACTCCACCACCTCCCTGGGCAGCCTCTCCCAGTGCATTGTCACCCTCACCAAAATGAAGTTTTTCCTCACATGTAAATGGAATTTCCCATGTTCCATCTTGTGCCTGCTGCCCCTCATCCTGTCACTGGGAACTACTGAAAAGAGTCTGGCTTCATCCTCCTTGCACCCACCCTTTAGATCCTTATAGGTATTAATAAGGTCTCCCCTTACAGTGCAATCTGTAGTGATATTCTTCTATGTAACAAAGAATGAATGCTTAAAGAAGATGAGCAAGGGCAGTGTGCTTATGGAGCTAAGATGAGATTTCAGGAAATGACCACAGTTACCGTAAAGGAGGAGGTGGCCTCTGTTTTATGGCTATATCAGCTGAGCAGGTCAACTGCTTCTGTAAATAAAGAATTTTTTTAAAGTTCACATGCAGCAAAAATTAAGAACATAGCATAGTATTGATGCAAATCAGTCAGGGAACCATTAATGAGTTGCTTAAATTTGTGTATTGCATCACATGTCTGTTTCTAAGATTCATTTCATTATGGCTGAATGCAATCAAGACTTGAAATTATTTTCTTCATGGTAAGGTAAAATTCACTATTATGATACAAAACAAACAAACAAAACCCCAAAATATCTTTCTGCTTGTCTAGCAGATCGTGGTATTTAGAGTAGTCTATTGGTTAACCAGTTATTTTTTCCGAAACAGGCAGCTGTTTTCACAGAGAAATGCACTGTTTTAGGTGGTTCACAATGGTATGTTCAAAAGATGGACAGCTCTTCTTTCTTCCACCTTAAGCACTTTGCTTGTCCTTCATGAGGCTATTCACTGTTTTTTGTCAAAAATAGGCAGTCCGTATTTGTGGTGCTATAGTTTCCAGTGGAGTTACCCTAGAATTTTTTCAAACTGTGCTCTGAGATACCTTCTTATCTCCAGCTGTTTCTAATTCTTAGATTACTGCCACATATCATCAAAGATTTAGCAAGCATACAGTACTCCTAGTGCCTCTTCAGAAATACTTAATTGGAGAGGAGCCTGGCTGTTAACATTATAGTTTAATATGCAATCAGTTACTGGACAAATGTAATGGTGTTGACAAAAGATGTTGCTTGCTTCTGTGGTTTTTTATGTTTAAGAAGAAGTTGCACAGCTACAAGCCTTTGATTTTACATGTGTGTAATTTGTGACTTTCTGGTACAGGGATACCTGTATGGAATAAAGCATCCAAATGTAGTGTGTAAGTATATCTGTGCCAGGAGACTTGAGCTGTTTTCAGCTCCACTCGAGTAGAGCTTCAGTTAACTTCTCAAGACCTGCCTCAAGATGAGGCTGATAGATAGAGTGCAGAGAACATGATTCCTAAAAAATGTAATTAAGTTTAAGGAGTCTGTCCTGGTTTGAGCCAGGATGAAGCCAATTTTCTTTTAACTGATTTCCCCCCCTCCCCCCTGCTTCAGTAAGCTTTCTTTTAACTAGTAGCAGAGTGTTCCAGCTAGGAATGATAACAAACAGTGGAATGTTTTTCTAACTGCTGGGTCTTCAAGGTCACATCTTTACTCTGCTGGCTCGGGCACTATGGGCAGATCTGTGACCCCCACCCCCTTAGGAGGCTGAATTAGACAGCAAAATTGGCCAGAGATATCCCATTCCATATATCTATGTAAGCTCAGAGGAAGGAAGTTGTCTTCTGTGATCTCTGACCTTCCTAGTTAAAAGAAAGCCCACTGAAGGAAAAAAAAAATCAGTAAAAGGAAAATTGGCTTAATCCTGGCTCAAACCAGGACAGGGTCAAAAGAGGACACTGATATAGTTTACAAGTGTGAAAGACAAAGTGAAGAAGCAAGATCTATTCATGAATCAGATGTGCAGTAGCAGAATTCAAAAGAGCAAAACATTAATTTAGCCATGACAGTTCTAGCACTCTTCTAGAAAATATGCCACCTGGCCTGTATTTTTTTGCATTCAAATTTATTGAAGTCATTAATTTAGAAATGGCTACAGGGTTTGTTTTTACTGTTCAGGTATGCAGAATGTGGAACTAGCCGTGATGTAGAGTGTGATTGATAGATATGTGATGGTTTTCCAAGGTAAGAAGACATGTCTAATGTTCTGCCTCTTAAGTCATCAACTTCTTTAACTCATTCCCTGTTTTCAGCTAGATTTGCCAGAAGAGTGGGGGTTTGGGAGATACATGTCACTGCTATAATTTTGGGATAAGGAAGTTGTCCAGCTAGAAAAAAAGACATCCGAAGTAATGATCCCTGCTGAGAAAGATAGAGGTAGAAGTGAATTTTGTATATTCTAGAGGTAATCACCTGCTTATTTTACCCATCAGAGGAGATAAACGATATAGCATAAGGAGAAGGGATTTTTGGAGTTGGAAGAGCCATTGTAAGGGGGACTGTTAAGAAGTATGGGAGAACCCTGGGAGAATGAGGCCCCCAGGATTGGCAGCATATGGAAGGTGTGATACATGTGTTACACAGGCTATTTAGAGGGAAACGACTTCTTCCATGCCTGATAGGTGAGGAAGTACTGTTCTTTTAAGTGTGATAATAAAGAATAAGTATTTGGGTTTTATAAATAAAGCCAACTTGTGTGATTTTAGTATTTCTTAAAACAAAATAAGGAGCAAAGCTGAAATAATATTAGGAAATCAAGCCACTGAAAACATAGTCATAGCTGGAAATCTGTGTCTTTTAAGATAGTTTTTGTCTAGGATGCTGAAATATTTGTGATAAGTAACTGGACTGCAACATGTCACTTTGGAAGTGAGAAAAAATAATTTTAGTATCATTGGCAGATATTTTAAGTTGTTTGTTGTAAAATAAACAGTCTCCATCGAGTACTATGGTAAGTGCTAAAGTAAGTTGTTGAGGACTGAAAGAAATTTAATAGTAGCAACATGTGTAGTAGCCTGTTCATAGCTCTGTAGTATGTTGTTTTTTTCCTTGCCAAATTTGGCTGACATTTTTATGATGCTTAGTATGTTTAATTCATCACTAATCTTACGCTCTCTTTTGAGGCAGAGAATATGGAAAGCAGGAAAACTACTATTAGTAGAATGAAGAATATCTTATGATAAACCAGAAGCATATTACTGGTTTAAGATTTTTTTTTTCTTGTTTAGGATGTCTGATTCATCTGTTGGATCTAATTGTCACCGTTCAGATTTTGTAGGGGGACATTTCTATGTATAATTATATTAGATATAGTTCACATGTTGTAAATACACAAATACTCTTGTTAACCTTTTTTTGAAAGGGTATTTTTCTAAGGAGCCAAGTACAAGATTAAAAACAAAGAGTTTCTAAAACACTGAAAAGATACAATTTCATTTAAAATCAGAATGGCAATACTTTATGGTATATTATGAAGCTTCTTAAAAATATTTCATATACACTAGTGTATATATATATATACACCAGTATATATATATTGACACAAGTTTTTTTAACTATCTGAATGCAACACTGGGTATCATAATTTCTATGTAAAATCTGACTTTCCAGATTAACTATTAGAGAATATCCAGAGTTAAGCTTTTCAGAGGTAGGAATGATAACAAGCAGTGGAATGTTTTTTCTGCTTAACATGGAACAAAAGCAAGGCAGGAATTATATCAGACAGCTGTAAATGATTAGATGATGAGTAGGTATTTTTATTATGATGATGCTTTTACTCATTATGTGCTTCACCATATGTGGCCAGGCAACTCACTGAGATTTATCCAGCTTTGATAGTGAGCAAATTATCTGAAAGATTTGGGGATGATGCATTACCAAAACCACGTATACTACAGTGGTCTGTTACTGACCAGCATGGGAGTTGCCTTATTCTCTGGTCATGCACTTTTCAATATGACTGAGTTGGGGGCCAGAAAGTGCTGACCTGACCTCAGTGAAAGTGTTTTAAAGTTAATGCTAGCAATTGATGTGAGTTTAGAGCCTTCACATGAGCAGCTCTGGCAGTTCAGTGGATAGTATCTTACAAATTACCTCCCCTAATTTGATCGTGTTTAGTCACTTAACTGTTACCTTAGGAAAGGGACCTGCTGTCTTTGTAAAGTGAGAGAGTGCACAAGTTTTTATGTGAATAATGATTTTGGCAATTAACTGCAAGAGTATTGAGTGCTATTAATTTCCTAGTAGGGGTATAAAAATGGGTTCTAAGTACATAGTGAATTTTTTTTGGTTTTCACTAGAGCATACTGATCTGGAAAACTAACACAGCCCAGTGTCAGAATACATTTCTAGTGTATTGGATGATTAAAAACATGTCAAGTACAAATGTATAGTTAAGCCACAAGCAATAGTGTACTGGCAAATAATTCCCAAAAGAAGAAAGGAGTTCTGCTGTTCACTTTAATAATCAGATTTCTTAAACTTGTCTTATTTTCAAGTAATGATGTAGTAAGCCATTACTATGTCTATAATCATACAGCAATTTCTGTTCTTTATTCTTGAGCACGTGGCTTTTATTGTACTTACTGAATTGATGGTTCCTGGAAATGCAAGCATGTATTTCATAAACTTTCTGTAAGCTGTCATTTATTCCTGTACTCTGTGTGTACATAGATGTAAGCATGTTTTTTCAGAGCTTTTCTTTATGGCAGTCATCATCTTTACAGTTCCATGTGAATCTGCTCATTGATACTACAAAGTATTTTATGTTCTGTCCTGGAGAAATGAGTTAAAAAACATTCAGGCTTCTGCAGTAAATAGGAATCCCTGACTGAGGAACAACCAAATGCTGCCTTAATGGCTATAAAAGTTTCTAGCTGAAATTGAGAGAAACTGCCAATAAACTAGTGTTGAATTCTTAAACTAATAAATATTAAACATCAGAAGGAGAAGTGAGAATGCCTGTTTCAGCCAAATTTGAGGGATCTGAGGTGAAATTGTTAGGCTCTTTGTAGAATAGCAATTTTTACTGCTTAGTGTCCATGTTTCCCTAATTTGGCAGGGGCAGCCAGCTTTCCTGTTTCCATTTAAAAGGTGTTTTCTTCCTCACATTTACAAATTAAATTAAAAATGTGACCTTTTAGATTGCTGTTCATACGAATATTTGATTCACACTTTAATGTATGTATAGCTCTTTGGTTTTTATTTACATATTCTGTAAGAGTTTGTTCTCATTCAGTGCATAAAGAACAAAATTCTTCTCAAACTTCCCACCATTTTAGGTGATCCTGGCTTTTCATATAGAACTTGCTGCTGGGGTAAAAGGTGTTTAAGAAGTTTTAAAATGATTTTTAAAAAATAGTTTAAAAAAAAACACCTTGATTTCTGTCTTTCTAACGCAGATTCCTTAGTTGTGATAACTGGGGAGTGACTAATGAATGTTTTTTCTTAAAAGCTCAAGACCACCAAGCAAGTCATCCTCTAAATTATAAAATTCAGTTACCTATCAGTCGATACTGGCAAAGCAAAGCCTGCAACATGTTGACAGGACAGGCCATTAGGTATGCTCAGGACTAAAATTACACTTCACTTTGAGCTTCTAAATTACCAGCTTGACTAGAAACAATCCTTATGTCACATTTGGTAGCTTTTTCCACGGTAGAACTGTGTTGAATACTTGTGTGTAGCCTGCAATTATGTGTGTCAGTCGGGCATGGTAGATACAATATATGTAAATATTAGTTGTTTTCTTGTTACTTCAGTTGTTGGTGAAATCATTGTCTTAACTTTTAAAATATTACTACAAGTGGCATAAATGTAGGGTTTTTTAGGGTATCCTGTATAGCTTTTTTGTCTGTGTTTTCTTGACAGTAGTGTTGTTTTGCTTGTACTAGAATGGTAATAATAAGTCAATTTATAGCTTGTAATATAATGTTTATAATGCTTTTCCTTTATTTGCAATACTAATTAACTTTAATGGGCAATTTATGGATTTTTTTTTTTTTAATTTTCCAGTGCAGTTGTGTGCATTTGGAGGCAAACTTAGAAATGGTGGCTTTGTTTTTGAAACAACGTTAAATCGTGAAGTGAATAAGGGGACTTCATCTGTTTGTTTATGTTAGGAAAATAAATAGTTTTGCTTGAAGGTTTATTGACAATTTCCACAAGTTGCCTTAAAATGTATTTGGTTAGGGATTTTTTTGCCCCAGATGCCATTTTCTCATTGGATATAAGACCTTAGCAAAATGTTTCAGGTTGACTGAAAAATGACATTTTTTCTTCATTTTTCATTCCTTTTTTCTATTTTTCCAGCAGTAGGAAGTGCAGTCTGCCTGTTTAAGCATATTCAAATTGGTTTTTAGTATTCAAATAGATAAAGGGTGAAGAGAAAAAATGGAAATGGTGCAAGCAATTTACTTGTAGTAAACTTTTAAAAACCACCACCTGCACTGTAAGAAATCTTGCCAAATATGTTGACTACTGCCTCTTAAATGTACCATAAATACTCCTGGTAACTTTTGCAGTTAAGTTGAAACATAATGTTTCTTTTTTATCAGAATTTTTAGAAATGAAAAGTCAGTGGTAAATCATGTTAGTGGTGCAGCTGGGTGGTTCTGAATAGAATGTTAAGAGAACATGGGTGTCTGAGCTCTGCACTTTAGGTGACCTGGTCAGTGCTACTGGTCAGAGCTTAACTTTCTGTGACCTGGTTTGCCTTCTATAAAATGCAGTATTTTGTTATCTTTCCATTTGACTAAGTCCACTGAGATTAATGAGTAAAAAGGCTTACACTACTCATATTTATAATGCCAGTTTTGGGAACTGTTCTGTGTATTTTTTTTAAGATGGGGAGCTGAAAAATCAAAAACCTGTAATTCCTTGGAGAGGGCACATCTTAAGCATTTATTTTTGTCATATATAGATTATATATATAAGCACTTAATCTGTCAGAGAAGCTATTTAGAAAAAAAAAATACCAAATTGTGGTGTCATCCATCATAGTAACCAGATGGATTGTTGATAAAGTTAAAATCACCGTCATCCAAAAATTAAAACCTCACCGAAAAACCCTGTTGACCAAAAATCCCAGCTTTCTTGAGAAAACATAATACTGATGGCTCCAAGAGCAAGATGTCTAAAATTTCCTGCTGGAAACAATTGGTTCTTAGTGCTTAAGCTTGCCCAGGTTACTCTTGATCAGTATAAAGAATGAGTTGCAGCTGTTCCCCAGGTTGTGCTCTGGCTTCTCATTTGCAAGTGTATTGGGTAAGGCAGGCAAGGAATGCCATGAGTGCATAAGAACAGGCTGTAGTTTTGAGGAGCAGGGGACTTCCAGTAGATTTTATCATAAGGGCTTAAGAAATATTATTTTTGTGGTTTTTGCTGTTCTGAATGAGTAGTAATGGAGACTTGGCGTTGTGAAAATGAGGTGACTTCAGTCACTCTTGCCAATAATGCAAAGTTTTGATAAAGTTATTACTTTTCCTGCCGATTAAATCAAATAATTTGCTTTTCTCTGCTGAATGTTTCTTTATTCCCCAAGGTTTGTACCATCAGATGAAAAGAAGAAACAAGGCTGTCAACGAGAAAATGAAACTCTAATACAGAGAAGGAAGGACCAGATACAGCCAGGGGGAACTACAGTCAGTGTTACTGTACCTTATCGAGTAGTAGACCAACCTCTGAAGCTTATGCCACAAGACTGGTAAAAGAGATTTTCCCTTTACATAATTTCCTAATCAGGAGAATACAGAATTTGGAGGCGAGAAATGAAATTCTGCTATATATATAAACATATTTATATAGTGTAAAAAGTGAAGATATGGATAAAATAATGGATTTGATTGATACATGTATAGGAATCTTTTCTTCAGGTGAAAACATAAGCTTCTTAAAATAATCCAACACACTACATTTCAACAGTATGAGTATCACAATTATTTTTATTCAGGTTTACCTGAAAAGTTCCAGAAATTCAAATAGGAATATTCCTATAGGTTTTCCAGTTTGTGATGCTGTAATATGTGTCACTGAAACATCTGAGAGAAAAATCCTCCTCTCTTGTCTGCTTTGTGCATGAGATGTGTTAGAAAGATACATTTGCAGACCTTCAGCATCCAACATTGTAGCGTTTTAAATAGTTTAAGAAAGAAAGAAAACATCAGTGAAGACAACCGTGGTTTAAATAGTGAATGAGTCATAGAACTAGATTGAGTGATGGAAGGAGAGCTCCACTTGAAGAAAGGGAATCATAGGCAGCTTTTAAGAAAAAATCCTAAGAAAAAGGATTATTCTGTCTATAGCCCATTCTTCAGTGAAATGAAAACATAATTCTCTCTGAGTAGAAAAATCATGGTGAAACATCTTTTTGCTGCTTGATAGAACAAATTAAGCAACATCTTCCTCACAAATGTTAGGATTTTAGACATACACACCAATATTTTTGGTGACTTTGTGACTTCCAAAGTAGATTTTAATGGAGACAAATACTTTGAAAAGGTCTTGTTCCTAAATTAATTTTTTGCTGTATTAATAACTTAAACTAATCAGAAAACCTTGGTTTTGAAATTCTAAATAGCAAATAGCAATTACAACGTTTAATGATCAAACCTTTAAGAGCAAGTAGAAATGTTTCCTGAAGTCCATCTGACCAGAGAGATGAAGTGGTGTGAGTTTTTTAGCTTGTTTTTATTCAAAGGAGGATCAGGTATTAGTATCTAGAAATCAGCCCATTGCCGCTGGGTGTTTTTTGTTAGCCATTATAAAACCTGCAACATCAGTTTAGATGACAAGCTTTAGTCTGTCTTCTAAATCCCAAAAAAATCCTCAAATTTCCATCGTCATTACTCCCTTCCGTTTGGCATTTTGTAGACTTTATGAATTAAATTTGGGGATTGGATTAAGGAGCTGATTACTTGTTATTTGCAATGGTTACATACCCTTACAAAAAAATTATATGCTTTGCAGCTGGAGGCAGGAATTTAGCAGCTGTCTCTTCTAATAAATTTTTAGAATAGACTTTAACAGTATTCAGAATAAAAGCTTTTTAAATTGACGCATCATAATTTATAGTGTTATACATAAAAGATTATCTCTAAAATGTTGGAGCACTTTTTAAAAAATAAAGTAATAATGACCAGAAATAAGCACTGTTTGACTTCTTATAAATGTAGCATGAGAAACTGAGCTGTGTTCTGCAAAGGGACAGGGCTAAAAGTTCATAAAAAATTATATAAATTTTTGTTTGCGTAATGGCCAAAGCAATTGTGTTGGAAGTGTCATTGTTAAATGTGCTATACTGCTGTTAGTAGATAAAAAGACTTCTAAGGTATATTGCCTGTTTAAGAAAACATGTAATTTAGATGCTCAAGGCCATCCTTACGTCCATCCCTTTCTGTGTTCATAGGGATCGAGTGGTGGCAGTGTTTGTACAGGGTCCTGCTTGGCAGTTCAAAGGCTGGCCTTGGCTCTTGCCTGACGGATCACCTGTTGATATCTTTGCAAAAAGTAAGGCTTTTGGGGTTTGTTTTGCTTGGGGGTTTTTTTTGAGGTGTTTATGCTTATGGCAAAGTAGTGCCAAGGTGCTATTGAATTGGGGTGGCTGAGAAGACAGGAGTTTAGGTCTTCATATGTATGGCACGTCTTAATGTGCCCTCTGCAGTTCTTCTCTTCTGACCTGTGGAAATCTCCAAGCTGTCATCTTTACAAGAGGCTCAGAAATAGCTGGTCTATAAAGTTAGTTTCCAAGCTTCCAGACAAAGGTGAAATCACAGTGTATACTATAGCACTTCATAGAGAACAGATTTACAGGCTGTCTTCAGATTTCATTATACTTAACAGGTGATTAATCACCTAGTATTTCACTAAGAAAGCTTTACAAATACAATCTGGTATCTGACAAAAGCTTCAAAGTTTATCAAGATAAAAAGTACTTTGAAGTTGTAAACTAGGTGTTACCACTGTTTAGATCTGAACTGTTTTTTTGAGTTACCACAGTTGTGCCCAGTATGCTTTGCAACACTACACTTTTCTCACACATTTCACTCTTGTAACTGTAAGGTGTGTGATACTGTCTAAAATTGTCAGCTTCTGTTCTCTGTTGCTTTATTGTGAAGCTGCCTTAGAAGATAAACCTTTGTGTAGTGTCTGAGCTACAGACTTTTAAAAACCCCAACCAAAGCATACACACACAAAAAACCCAACCCACAAAAAACAAAAATAGATTGACAGGACAAGTGGGAATAGTTTCATTTCATGCCATTGTAAAAAGTCCCTCTCTGGCTTTCTTGTAGCCCCTTCAGGTACTAGAAGGCTCCTACAGTGTCTCCCTGGAGCCTTCTCTTCTTCAGGCTGAACAACCCCTAGTTACATGCTAGTTCCTATTAATTTTAACGTTATGTATATACAAATGTGTAGAGGACCATAGGAGTTATGACAATTTTTAATGGTATCTTTAAACTGTTTTCCTAGAAAGAGTAAAGAACAGTGGTGTTAATGAAGTGAGTGCAGGAAAAGTCAGTCTGGTTGTGTGTGTTTACCTTTTCCTGAAGCTGTCACTTTGCCCATATCTGTAGTCTTCTGAAGTCTCCATAAACGTGGTTTCTGGCTCCTGTTTCATCTGCAGTTTGCATTTCTTAATGTGGGTCCATACTAATTAACAAATATTCAAAGCTTATCACTGTAATTCTTTAAAACAAGCAGGTAGCTTACCATAAAGAATACCTCAATTTGCATTGAACCAGAGCCCATCAAACTTATTTCATTTGTTCAGTTGCTCTGTCATGTAGCATTTTGCTAATTGAGTCTCTAAAATTGTTCCTCTTTACATGTGGTCTGAATGTTTGGTGTTCACATAGCAAACAAGCTTATTTTTGCATCTGTAAGTGAATGTTTTAGATGAATTTTTGAATTATGTCACTTTAATGAAAAAATATTTCATTTTGAATACTATTATAAAGGTCTTCCCACTAGGGCGGGTTAATGCACTTCATTACTGATTTGTTTCAGTTTGAGAAGTGGAGTATCTTCTACTCAATATCATTTAACCTTAATGCAGAAACTGTCAGGTGTTGATTAAGTTTTATGCAAACAGAGATAGCCCTGATACATCTTTATTTGCTTTCTCTGGACTTATTTTTAAAAAATGCAACATTGTATGGCAAAGATAATGTATATGTATACTTACTTTTCATTCACAAAGCTTGGAAAATTATCTGGCAGTTGTACAAGCCATCACATCTTTAGTATAGTTAGTTCTTTAGTTCACAGACACAAAAAAGCTTATTTTAGATACTAATCATCTAGAAAGCTCCTAGATAAATAATTTTATAGACCAACCTGTATCTGGAAACAGGTACTGATTTTATTTATTTTAGCCATTTGGCTAAAATTTTAGGTGGATTTTGTGGAACAAAAAATAGTGTGGTACCAGGGCAGATATGACCATGGTACTAAAAATAACTAGTTCTCACAAGCCTGATGAAATGTTTTTATTTCTCCAGTAACAGCGAAAATATAAAATGCATCAGATTGGTTACCTGATAGGAATTGTGCAAGACTTAAATACTTGGCACTGGATTATGTCAAGCTATGGTTTGGATAAGGAAATCAAGAAGAGTCACAAGAAGATATTAGTATCAATGTGTTCATGCTTAGGCTTTGCATAGTTCACGTGTGACAATACTTCCCAAAAGAAAAATAACTTAATATTTTATAATTTGTAGTTGAATACTAGAGGAGGGGAAATTGACAGTTACTAAATTTCTCAGAATGCTTATGGGGGTTACACTGGCAATCTGCTATCAGTCTTACACACAGATTTTCAGGAAATAGCCCGGCTTCCTTTTCAGTTGTCTCAGAAATTATTTTTTTCTTGGACAGGCCAAAGATTTTCAGAAATAATGTAATTGTTTCCCAGAGGAAAACTCCTTAACTTGGCAATGAGTTTCTGCTCTTTTCCTGGAATCTAGAAACAGGAGCTGTCCTTTCCCTTAAACCTGTAATAGCATGAGAGCCTGATAGTAGCCACTTAACACTGAGTTTAGCCCAGTGCCCTTTATTAACTAATTGACTTTCTTGAGAGATGGGCTCATTATTTTTGCTCTCAGGCTTTATTCTGAAAAAGAGGGGTGGGAGTTCTCTGTAACTGATAATTAAATACTGTAAAGTCATTATGTTTTCCTGTTTCCTGTAGTTAAAGCTTTTCATCTCAAATACGATGAAGTACGTCTGGATCCAAATGTACAGAAGTGGGATGTAACAGTGTTAGAACTAAGCTACCACAAAAGACACTTGGACAGGCCAGTATTCCTACGCTTCTGGGAAACTTTGGACAGGTATGCATCCTATTGAAAAACCTTCATGCTCATGCTTTTACAGTGTTTTGTGGGAATTAAAAGTCATGGCAACAAGGGAATTGTGTACAACTTACACATCTGAACAATCTTTTAGCTTGAAAATACTGCCCATTTAGATTTTTCCTGTTGATACAGTTAAATATATGCCACTATATTTTATTAGAGACTATAAATAATAATCTCCAAAGTGTAGTATGCATGGATTTAAAGAAAGGGTAGTTGCCATTAATCATTAGTCCAGTCATTCACCACCTCCCTTTAGGCAGAAGAAAAGGAATGCAGAACAAGCTAGTTAGTGCAGAATTTTCCTTTGTTTCCCCAAGTCCTCCCCTGGAACTGCAGTTCTGAGCTTATGAGCTCTCCTCCTTCCTCTCTCTACTTCACTAGGTGACAGTCTAGAAAAGGTGAGGAACTACCTTAAGGTGAAGAGCCACAAAGCATTATCTTATCCTGATGCCCTTGAGTCCACAGCACTGGTTAAAAAAGGAAGTTAAAAAAATATAGCACATAGCTAAAGCTATAGCTTTGAGTTAGTGATACTTTTGTATCTTAGATGTCTTCCAAATATTTAGCCCTGCTTTTTCTGAAAAGTGGGGATGGAGTAGCGCCAGCAGCTCTGTGAAGAGCAACATTGCTTCTGATTCTGCTTCTCTGTGGTTCACAACCATCTCTACATACCTTTTCCATGTTGTAGAGAAGGAACTTTTTTATCATGAAATAGAAAAGAAATATGAAGGAAGAAGCCTATGCATTTCATGAATGTTTAATCTTTTCATGTTGATTGCACAGCAAACTACTTGAATGATTGAGTGAACTTCAAAAAGAAAAATCCCATGGGAATTGTCAAAATAATTCCATCCACCAAACTTTCTATGGCTTCTTATTTAAAAGTCTTAGCTAAACTACATATCTGAATTCCCAGAATGAACTGGAGTTATCTTTAACTACAATCTCCCAATGTTACGCATCGTGATGCTTTGAAGCAAAGGTTTTATCTGACTGTCTTTTAGTGGGACAAATACTGAGCATAATACAGAGCTATATGGGACAGAAGACATTGCATCTCTTCAGCAACTTGCTAGTTCTTTAGGATTTTTGTTTTTAACAAAGTCTCTGCATATTATTCCTGAGAGTAAAATTTGTGTAAGTACCAAAAGAGTAGTAATGTTGTTTTCTGTTAATTTTTTTCAGGTATATGGTAAAGCACAAATCTCACTTGAGATTCTGAATCCTTCAGCTGCCATTTATTTCCTGAAGTATGAATTGAGAAAAGTGAAAGAGGCTCCAGTTTGGAGACCAGAGCTGGCACTATATGATATGTCGAGAACTTTACAAATGAAGAAGGGTCACAGTTTAATCTTTTTATAAAATCTTGTTTGGATGCTTCATGCTATGGCAGGTTGATAACCTGTTGTTCTTCAGAAGCAAAGGGGTTTTGCTTAAAACTATTTTTTTAATGTTGTTAGCCTTCTAGTCTGCAATCCAAATTGTATATTTTGATAGCAGCAGTTTCTTCTCTGTTTTGTTAAATTAGCCACATTTTAAAATAATGTGTTTTGTTCCTTATTAGAAAATAGATTGATCTTCACTGCAGGTTACAAATGTGAGCGTGTGCACACGTGCGCACGTGTGTGTGTATATATGTGTGTGTGTGTCTATATATATAATGTATAAAAAAAAATTATAGACACACTATGCACACATAGATGTTACCAGGCTTTCTAAACCACTTAGCTTCTGAGCTTATTTTTGGTTTTCTTTGCTTATTGTTTCACTTACTGACAATATTTTGTTGTGAATGATACTACATTTTAGTCAATAGGACTTGCAAACTGAGCAAAGTGAAAATTCTTTTGGATAAATCAAAATGTCAACCTGTATATGTATATCCTGTCAGTCTTTGTTGAAAAAGGGAAGATGAAAAAAATCTAGAAATGCTTTTTTGGATTTGCAATGTCCCAGTTTACTAAATCTTTAAACTTTATTATAGGAGTACCTTCAAGTCATGTTACTTCAAATTGCCATTCTCCATGAAGATCTCTTTATTTAAACTGAAAGTGTGCATGTGTACATTCCCATCTATAAAAACACCTTTACATATGAGTCTAAATGTTACTTAGATTAAACAATGAAGAGAGAAGGAGAGAGTCTGGATTTTTTTTTTTCCTGAAATGGTCACCACAAGGAATTAATAATTTCAACTTTTTGCATTTTATACCTCTGATACCACCTCTAATATTGTTAGCCCAGACTATGTCTACAGGAATTCTCATTTTCTGAGATGAGTGGCTAATACGGCCTCCTAACAGTCCTGCATTGGAATGCAAAATGAGCCTACTTCAATTACCAAAGAACAGATTTGCTTGATCTACAGTATAACAGACACCAGAAGACCCCCTGGTATTTGTGTGAATTTGTGGTATCTCTGTACTTAATAAGATTAAGTTGATGTTGCAAACCAGTGGATGTAGAGAATTATCAAATACTGTAACACCCGCATGAATTTTTTTCTGGGATAGAAAATAAGTGTTTATATTCCTGTTCTTGAAATGCCCAACCATGTTTTTTAATATACTTTACATTTAAGGTTTGATGAAAGTAAAACGTTCTACCTGTTCTTCATTTTTGCTTTTTATTTGATGTTACCTTCACTTTTAATAAAACCAGAAGGCACATCTCCTTAAGAGGTTTTTTAAATTTTCTTAAATTTATGAGGAGTGTGAGGTCTGACTTCTAGTTACATGTTCCAATCCCTGCTGTACCAAGACTATTTTTAAATGGTCTTAACGGAAATGTAAAAAAAAACAAACCACCAAACAAAAAAACCCAGTGACTCCAAGATTAAAGTTAACACTGGATTTTTTAATGGATTTTGTGAAATGACTGAGAAGAACAGGGAATACAGAACTACTGGAAGTTCTATTCGTATGGGCAGTTAGTACCAAGTGACTGGTTTTTCCCAATACTTAAGTTTATTATAGATGTATACATGTGCTACCTGAGTGAGCTAAAACTTTGGTTTTACCTGTACTATGATGAGAAAAGCTCCATTTGCTATCAGCACAGTAATTACTGCCATGAGGTTCAGTTTAGTGTTCATTACTGCTTTAAATAATGGGATATCATGTATGGTTTTTTAACTCTCGAACATTTCCAATTAGAGATAAAATTTTGTTCAAACCTAATAATCAGTACTTCATGGGCCATGCAGTTTTAAAGAGACTTACTTTTACAATGGGCAGCAAACTTAAAAGGTGAATTTTGAAGAAATTAGAGTTTCATGTACAGAGTGATACAGTGGTCTTAAAGTAGGCAAGGTCCAATTATCTTTTCTCTGTCCTGTTTCACTTGTGTTTTAAATGCACGTGTAATCCCAGGTCCAATATCGTATACAGGAGATGGCTTGATTTAGATGTAAATTTATGTATATATTTGGAGTAACTCCTGAAACTAGTGAAGTTACATGGATGTGAGGCTGGCTGAAGAGCAAAATCCATGAAGTCTTTGTATGAACTGCGCCATTTTTAGTGGATTGGGCGTAGACCTGTAACAACGTAGAATTTTGTACTTGCAAGCAATTTCTGACACAAGTTGTAAAAGATGTATTTGTGAAGGAGTTGGCACCTGATCATGCATATTTTTGTCAGACATAAAAGTAGTGATGTTTATAAAATGAGCCATTTTGCAATCAGATTCCT